CGTCGGAGCAGCCGAACATGAAGCGAGGCTAGCTGTCACGGATGGAATATCCCATTCTGTTTACAAATCAGAAGTTGTTTTACGTGTTCTGATAGAGTCTGGTTCTGTTTTTGTTGGGAATTGTAGCTAGGTCTAAACTCTGTCGTTTGCGCGAGAATGAGTATAAGTGTGTGTGTGTGTGTGTGTGTGTGTGTGTGTGTGTGTGTGTGTGTGTGTGTGTGTGTGTGTCACAAGCCAGTGTTACACCATTTTCTGCAACCATCAGATGTGACTCAAGGGAGGAGGTAGAAAAAAATGTAGCTTGCTTGAAAAACTTTTCCATAAAGGAACACTGCACCTTCAACCCTCTGGAGGCAGGCGTTGCAGATTTGCAACGTTAAAACCTACCTACCTGGTTACTCCACATACGTGTTTCATGAGAATTTTTTTACTCAGAAGTACCCCTGAAGGAAATAGTTGTTAGTCCTTTTATCAAAACTTATTTTGAGCCTGAGAGGGTTAAAGGTTAAAAACAAATACTTCTTAATTGCTTAATTTTTATTTTAATTTATTGAGATAAAGCCTGCCTAATATTCCAGGCCAAGGCATTCCACAAAGTTGCAGCCATAATGAAAATGGGAACTACACCTGGAATCATCACGTTTGACTTTTCCACGACTCAGTATCCCTTCTAACACCGTTTAAATAATCCCTCTCTTTAAACATCTTTGGTACGTTCTTGCTGTGTCAGATTTCTGATTCCATTTTTGGTTCTTTTTTAAAACACAGAAAAGGTTTCTCTTTACCTTGCTTGCTGACAGTTTCGTTTGCGGCTGCAAACTTCCTCAGCAAGCAAGGTAAAAAGAAACCTTTTCTGTGTTTTAAAAAAGAACCAAAAATGGAATCCCTCTCTTGACTGCCAACATTAGGCGTCGCAGTTGGCTCAAAATGATATGGTTGTGGACCTTCAGCACCGAAATTGTGGGAGAATTCTTCCTTCGATTCTGGCAACATCTCCCAGTCAAGCTCCGTGTAAACAGCTACTAATGAAGCGAACGACTTCTCCCTCCTTTGTCGCTTCCGTTTTTTTTACCAGAAGGCACTGTTTTTCAAGCAGGTCATGGGAAACCCGCTGGGAGGCACCAAAGCATGCTTTTATAATTTGAACTCAGTCGTAATTACATTCACAACACTTCTTATCAAGCTATCCAAAAATGCTTAGATGGATTTGAAGTGGAAGATGGCCTTCAAAGTGACAGTGTGTATTTTTCCTGGTGATAGAGGGCAGTAGATACCTACATCGTTACAAGCAAGCTGTGTTTTTGTGTTGGAGTAAGACCTTACCAACGGATGCTCATTAGGGTCAAAAAGGTCTGTGGAGTACAAACTTCAGCAAAATGATAATTACGTTAGACTTCCTTTCATCGCTGGCAACAACTGAAGAGGTAAATGTATAAAACAACGTTTATTAATGGTGAGAGTTTTGTAACCATTTGTTACCAATAACTAAATGTGTTTTGTCCTCAAGTGCTCCTGTAGAAGGAAACATGGCATCTAATATGGCGTCGCCTGGAGATTTAGACCCTCTCCCATGTAAATTTGACCAGAGGTTATGGTTATGTTACGAAGCTGCCAATATTTTTCAACAACTAGGCATCATGTCAGTCATTTTCAACAATATTTTGATGGATATTTCCAGAGATTAACCATAAAAACTACACATTGTCCCTTTGAAAACCACAAGCGAGGAGGCCGATCTATTACCGACAGGTGGTTCCATAACCCAGATGCAGCTTCAACATTGCCCTTGGAACCACCAACTGCTAGAGAAGTCTGTATGGTTAACTGTAGACAAATAATCTCAGAGTTTAGTCATTTTAATAAATAAGTGCACATCTTAAAGCACTACAGAAACCCTAAACATTAAACTTCATCAATAAGTGTCTGTTTTCTGTGAAGATTTTCTTTGTCATTATGTAAGGAATTGCAAATCTTTATAAAGATATTATTCTCCATCATGCATCAGTAATGACAGATACAAGTCCTGCTGGGCTTCAGCTCCTGCTTTATGCTCATAATGACAATGAGATGGTTGTGTTTATAACGTGCATGAGGGCTGATGGAGATTATGTTCATAACATCTAAATAAAAAGAACCTTCAGCCATAGTTTCTCTTAAGAGGGAGCGAAAGCCTGCAGGGGCTTCACAGCAAGCTGGGTTAGACTAATTTATCAGTGTGGTTCAGGGACAAAGAAAATTAGGTGGTTTGGGCTGCTGGCCGTTTGTTAATGTAAAACACAACATGCACTCGCACACCCAGCGTCAGAGATGCAGCGCATGTGGCGATCTCTCTGGAGGAGACCGGGATGAAGACTAATTTGTGATGAGATCAACCTGGCAGAGGCCTGCTGATCAGTCCGTTCACATGATTCTTGAACAGGAAGCAGCAGAAATCAGGTTGGTCGTAGGGCAGCATACAACTCTCATAAGTCAGGCGTGAGCTCAACTCAAGATGACAGCGTTGTTGTTGGCTGCGAGCTCAGGAACCATTACAATAAAACACACATCAGGGATTTTCTTCAATGATTTGTGAATCTGCTTTTAGTTCATGTGCACAGCTCTACCTGTATGTGTGATCAGAAAACTACAATCTAGAACTACAAAGCACATTTTTACGAACAAATACATGTAAATTTAATTTCTGCAGATGCAACACAACTTCCTTCTAAATGCTTTTGTTAGTGGAGGTGAATCCAACTTCTTATACATGTTATTTACAAAGTCAAGGAACCAAAACTGTGTTTCTCTTTGTTGTTTCCTTCTCAGAGCTTGAAGTATTTTCATGCAAAAGATTATTTTCAATAGATTCTTTGATCTGCGTCTCGTTCATCATCACAGGAAGTGATGTTCTGTTCTTAATTTCCATTTTCAGAGGTTGTGTTAATGCACCACAGGATGAGGACGCCTGCAGTGTTGGCTGCATTAATGCCTCTGTTCTTATTTATCTGTGAATGTCACCGTAAATACAGATGAACCAGTTAACCCTCTGGAGGCAGGCTTTGCAGATTTGCAACGTTAAAACCTACCTACCTGGTTACTCCACATACGTATTTCAGGAGCATTTTTTTACTCAGACTTAGTTGTTCGTCCTGTTATATTTATTTGAGCCTGAGAGGGTTAATGTCCTGGTTGGCCAGTCCATGTGTTTAGCTGTCTCCATTCAGATATCACCAGATCAGCATAAACACAGGTTTTGCAGAAATCTGTCACCCATCCACTTGGTTCCCAGATCACATCTAAACTATGCAGGAGAACGAGCCCAGGAACCAGGATCAGACGCTGTGACACACACACATTGAGAAATCAAAGTACAGCAAGAATAACGACTTTCTTCCACAATAAAATGAAACCACAGATTATTACCTAGCAAATGAAGGCATGTACACGTTTCAAACTCCTGCATGTGACTGCTTGTTTTTAAAAAAATATTGAGTTTTATTGACTTTAAATGATCCAATAAATTAGATAAAAATCAACATTCACAACAATCAAGTCTTGGAGTCCTTATGCTGAACTTGTGAAGCACAAGATCATGAAAACCTACAAGTGCAATATGTAAGAATAAAGTATGACCTCCAGTGGTCAAATTTGGGTACTGCAGTTCATTTTTAATAATTAAAAAGTCTCTTTATCACTCCTGTTCCATGAGTTTTATGGCTATGGACCCATGAACTGGACGTAGATGAATGTGATTAGCTCCCTATTGACTTCACACATATTTCACTGGAAATAACTGTTGGTAATTGAAAAAGTAGCTTGAGATATTTTTAGAGTTGACTATTTGCTTCTAATTGCCTGCTAGTACTGTTAGCTCAGTGTCAGCCCTTAGCCTTTTCCCTCAGATTTTAGAGTAAAACAAAAAGATGCCATGGCTTCTTTAAGCTGCATTAGCAAATCATCAAAACAAGCTACCTTTTAAACACAATCACTCTCACCCCTCCCATCAGATATCAGAACCTGCACTGCCAAAGGAAATGAGGGAGCGCTAAATGGCTTGTATTTGATATAGTGCCTTCTGCTTTTCCTTCTCTGACATGACTGAGCGGAGAACCTCTCACACCAGTGGTGTTCTGTTGCAAAATGTGCGAACACGTAATGAGTGGACGACTCAGCTAGACGTGGAAGTGTGGTGGTTAGGTAAGACAGACAACCTTATGGTCAGACTGAGGCGTGTTGTTGGCTGAGGTTTGTAGAAAAATATGAAAAAAAAAACAATTTAATTTATTATTATTTTTGCCTGCTATGGTCGAATTACCAGTGGCGGAGCAGCAGCGTTAGCTCGGCGCAAACACGGCTATCTCGCAGGCTCACAAATAAACAGTGGCTACGTCCCTCTTTAGCTTTTGTGAAAAGAGAAAAACCTCCAGCCAGCTGAGAAGGAAATCTGTTTTAGTACCCTTCCTTCCAACACGACTGAGACTGTTTTGTGATAATTTCTCAGTACAATGCTTACATTTTGCTCCTCAGGAAAATCCTGAAGTCTGGATAACCGTTCCTTATTCAAACTGTGAGAAACACTTTTAAAGGCCCCAGTTAAATGTGTGAAAGAGCAACAGCCATGACTAATCATTTCATCAGCATGACTTGATTTTATGCTAATCAACACATTTTAGTCAGATCCACTGTTGGCATTAAAAAGTACTTTTATACTTATTTATAAATCCTGGACATGACTAATTACTCTGAAACTAAGTTACAGTCAGATGTCTTGTTTAGTGCTTGAAAATAAGTATAGATGTGCACATGGCATCATGGTTTAAGCAGGGATGAACTGTCATGGCGTAACCCACATTAGTATAAGTTGAGAGCTCCCTCTGCAGGACAGCAGGAAGCATAACATAGAGAATTCAGTCACAAGCTATTATGGTTCAGGGCTGCACTTCCTTGCATTTTAAAATATAGATCCATGAATAAGATGCAGAGTAAATGTCATCAACGAGATCCTGCAACAAACGGAACGCATTTTTACATTTTTATTTTTATGAATAAGTTGGGATTTATTCTAGATTTTCTACTGGGATGGAAAAGTAAACATTCCTAACATAATGAAACATAACAGATGGGATGATTTGATTATTATGACTTAATAAAAAGTGTTTTATCTAGTAGATATATTGATAATCATGTAAAAACATGAAGGTGGAAAAGTAAAAATTGATATTTTTCTGTTCGTTTTCTTTGCTGTCTTTAAGTAGAGATTCATGGCGTGAACGACACAGCAACATGCTTATCAACGGGAATTAGTGATTTATTTATTTAGCTTAAAATGTCTCCCTAACTTTTATTTTCTAACAGTTCAATTATACATTTTGCTGCACCTGTACTGGTAAAACTAATTAACAAAATAAAGGACATATGCAATGCATTTAAATAATTAACAAGTACTGCAGGTTCAACCAAGAAAATGTGACAAGTGGAAAAAATACACGAAATACATGAAAGATCTGATCTTATCAGGCAGCATGAACACAAAATAAACCAAAGTGCATTGATACATTATATAATAATATTTAATGTATATATACTATACATAATATAGTATATTATGTCGATGATTAATACGCAATCTGTGCACTATAACACACGTACTTATCATCTGAACACTGCAGGATATTTAAAACTCGTTGTTATGCTTTAGTCAGCTCTGGTTCTCACCACAGCTCGTCTGATCTGGCTCATGGACATCTGCAGAATTATTCCATCCCAACAGGACTGCAGAAGCTGCCAAATCAGTCACGCCTCTTCACGTTTCTTTAATCTGCCAGACCAAAGTGTCCAAGAGAAAGTTAGATGAGTCATGTCTCTGTGTTGTTGCTGTTAGGAGGAGAGAAGACTGCTTGTCCGAGCTGAATCTAACATTGATCTGATCATCTAGGCGGTGTTCTGAAGGTGTCAGAGCTCTAACAGAAAGGCAGTGTTTGAGCAGGTTTCTTGGTTTAAAAGCCAAAACATGAACACATCACCTGGTTTAGAATGGAGCAACGTGAGATTTTCTTCATCATAAAGTAGGTTTTTGCTCTATAATGATGTGATATCACAATGATTCCAATGGAAGGCAGACTCTCTCACGCATATAATAAATACGTATCTATCTATAGGCAGAAAAGGGCCCAGAGACGTCTACTTTAATGTTCTTTTTGAGTCATTTGTCATAAAAAAAAATCAGGACACTCAGATTTTCTTTAAATTATAAAAAAAAAATCAAAACAAGCTTTTTGGTTAATACAGAATTAGCATTCATATAGCAGGTGATAGAGTATGTTGATGTAGAGGACACATAAGGAATAAAAACTGATCGATATTTGTTTTTATTCTTTGTCGTGGTTCAAATGAACACTTGTGTATTCTTTTTTTGTGTTATTTGATCTCAGGATTTCTTTGCCTGGCTTTAGCTGCATGGTGTTTAAGGTAAAGTGGTGACAGTGAATAGATGATCTCACAACAACGGCCAGGAGCTCTGTAGCCTCTCACTGACGGGGTTTTAAACATTGTGAATAAAATGCTTCCACACTGAAGCGTCCATCAAACCAGTGAGCCAAAAAAAGTCCATGGAGTTGTTTTCCTGTGAGACTCAAGGACTCAGAAGACCCACAGCTACAGGAAGTGACATCACCAGGGACAACAGCCATGGTGCTGATTTGAACATGACACTGATGGCAGAGCAGATTGGAAGAATCCCTGAAAGACAGAAGAGAGTGTGAGTTCAGATGTTCCAGATGACTAGATGGAATAAAAACGCAGCAGAAACTAACGATGATGGACAGCCATGCTGTTTTCCTTCCAGCCGTTGCCCTGATAAACCCTGCAGGTGTAGGTGTAAGGCTTCTCATCCGCCATCGGGGCCCAGGTGAGGCGGCACAGATTCGGGGCGACCAGGCTGACATTGCTCCTCCTGCGGTCGTCTGTGGACACGTAGATGACGTCGTTGGGGTAGGTGGTGCCCACCAGACGGCTGTCCTGACGGTATTCACAGTAGGGTCCAGGGACTTGGTAGGTGGGTGGGAACTCACAGTCCACCCTCACATTTCGCTCCAGGTAGGTTAAACACGGGAACATCTGGGGCCCACGAGGCGTGAACAGAAACGTGTACACCGGGTTCACTAGAGAAGGTGAAAAGGTGATGTTTTGTAAAAGGTTGTGAGGTTTAGGAGACATAGATTCTGATGAATTAAAGTTTGAGAGAGAAGTTTAAAATGTTTGCGATGTTATGTTTGAAGTCAAAGCTGCACATGAGTTCAGATTCACAGTTTTTACTGTGCTTGATTGTTGCTGCCTATTAGGAAGTGTGTGTGTGTGTGTGTGTGTGTGTGTGTGTGTGTGTGTGCGTGCGTGCGTGCGTGTGTGTGTGTGTGCGTGTGTGTGTGTGTGTGTGTGTGTGTGTGTGTGCGTGTGTGTGTCTGCTCTGTCTTCTCGATCCCCAGTGAGTCGTGGTGGATGGCTGCTTATACTGAGCCAGGATCCTCTGGAGGTTTCTTCCTGTTAAAAGAGAGTTTTCCTCTCCACTGTCGCTAAATGCTTGCTTAGTGTGAGAATTGCTGTAAAGACACTGACACTAGTCAGTGACTTGATGCAATTTGCTGGGTTCCTTATATAGGAAACGTTTTACTGATTGGCTAAATGAACTGACCTGTATTGGAATGTTTACTAAGTGAAGTGTCTTGTGATGACTCTTGTTGTGATTTGGCGCTATATAAATAAACTTGAATTGAATTGAAGACGTTCGTAACAAACAACCCTCTTTCTGCCACTTTGTCAACATTTTTGTTTCTTTTCATTTTTAGGTTTTGTTTTTAGTCAAGAAACTCTCTGCAACAATAGTTTTGCTTAGAAAATGAGGGTAAAACTAGAGTGTTTTAGTTCATATCCTTAGGATTCTCCTTTAGTTTAGTTTTATGGTAAATAGCCTGTATTTGTCTAGCGCCTTTAGAGTTCTAAAACCCCCCAAGGCACTTCACAACACAATCAGTCATCCATTCATTCACACACACATTCACACGCTGGTGATGATGAGCTACATTGTAGCCGCAGCTGACAGTGGTGAGGCCACCGGTCCCTCTGACCACCACCAGCAAGGCGGGTTAAGTGTTAAGCATTCTCTGGTGGGAGCCGGGACTGAACCTGCAATCTTCCGATCACTGGTTTAATGCAGAGAAAACAACCAGGTGGTTTCAGTTTGGGTGAAAATAATCTACTGCTTTGTAGATTTGTGTCCCACAGCCTTCGGATCAGCTGAAAGTCACACACTTTCTATGCAAACTTTAAAATCAGCTGAGTAAGGGTGGTGCGACAAATCTGGTGGACTCTAACAGTGGAAACCTTCAAGACTAGCTGTCACTCAGCATGTTGTGATCATGTCTGCCTCCAGCAACAAGAACAGATTTTTGCACATCAGTAGAAAACCAGAAGCTCTGAAATTCTTGCAGATGGATCTGGTGAAAGTAGAAAGTCACACTTGTTCTGAAACTTTTTACCTTTTAAAAATGCTGGTTAACAGTTTCGTGTGGAGCTTGCATGTGCTGTAAGTTATTGGTCTTTAAAATACCTGATGATGATTTTAGCAACAATAATTAAATCATTATTTTCTGTAAAGATGGACAGGGAAAAGAGAAGGCGGAGCTGAAATGTGTCATCAAAAGGGCTAATTAAATAAGCATTACGTTTTGATGTGACCTAATGTTTTGCTGAGTAAGTGTTTGTCTGGATTACATAAGATCACTGAGTCATGCCACAGTTATAATAAATGAGTTAAAATTAAAAACACCCCCGTGGGTTGCTTATTTTCTGTTTACAGTAACAATGCATTTTGTCCTTCAAGCTGCCCTTCAGTCTCAGCTCTAGAGATACGAGCAGAACAAAATAAACACATTAATGATAATCAAAGTAAGGACGTACTGTGAGTCTGATGAGTCATCATTATTCTGCCAAGGAGGAGACAAACCGCGACCAGCAGATGCTGCAGCTCCATGGTGACCTGTCCGATCAGACCTGCTCACCGCTGCCTGGGAAAGTTTAACATGGGTCAGGCATGAGAAAGTCGCGCAGCCCCCACTGATATCCGCCTGTTTAGTCCACAGAGAGCATGCAGCCTGCAGCAGAAGGAGCATAAATCATCCCGGAGTACCGCGGGCCTGGATGCGCGGCTCTCCCTGCAACCCAAATGCAGAGCAGGCTACGCCCATGCGGTGTCATTGCACTGCAGCAACCCCCACCCCTCCATCCCCTCCACCCCCATGCGCAATTTGTCCTCTGCAGGTGCGCTGCATGCCCCATCGCACGCAAACCCGACCTGACGTTCCTCTAATCTGATTTATTTAGTCTAGAAATGAAGCATCTGCTCTTACCTGATCTTTGAACTGGTCCCTGGTTTCGCTGCGCTGATGCGCGCGTGCGTGATGCGCGTGTGTATGTGGCGTGCCAGAGCAAGAGCAGAGCAGGTATACATAGCACTACCTTCAGTTTTAAGACGCACAAAGATAACATCAATCAAATCCACAACAAAAACAGCTGTTCAGTGACGTCTGGAGGAACTGGAGAAGTTCTGAAAACAACAGAACCTTGGAAATATGCTGTTTCCAAACAATAATCATGTTTTATAAAAGAGGAAAAATTTAAATAGTTTAACACAAATCTGTGGAGAGACGAATGGAAGAGGGATAGAATATTTCTATTCAACTTGGTACTACCCTAATAGTACTACACAATCCACACAACTGGAAAACAGAGGACCTGAACTCACAAGGCAGGATGGGTCTTATTTATCTAACAAATTTTGCATGAATGATGATAAACTCAGGACTTTTTAAAACATGACTTTTTCAAAGTCTCACATTTCCACTCAGATGGGCAAAATATGCAGTTTTACCTGAGATTTGCGTCTGACAAACAAGCAATAATCTTTTAGCTTTGTTGTCATATCAAACGCCACCAGTAGGCGGCAGTGTGTGGAGTGATAGAGCCCAACACACACACACACACACACACACACACACACACACACACACACACACACACACACACACACACACACACACACACACACACGCACGCACGCACGCACGCACGCACACACACCACAGGCCCATGAAAACCACGTTCATGCTTTAGAAACGTGTTTAGAACAAGGACAATTCTAGATTTCTTGTACTCAAGGAGCAAAAGAGTCCTTTTGTCTCCATCTGTCCTGATTGTTCAGTGATGCTCATTTTGGAGCACAAGAATTTCTTACATTTTCTCTTTTGAGAGACAAAGTTTAATTCTACTGTTTTAATGAGGACTTGTGAGCGTGGAGAAAAGGTATTTTATAAATCTCTCTCTTGAACTAAATGAGCTCATTATTTAGGTATTTTTGTTACTGTTAGAAGAATAACTAGCTCTCCAAACAAACAAACAAACAAACAAATGGCACACCTGTTTCTAAAACTGTCAAAACTCATCCCTTCCAACAACTCCATGTCATTTCTCTGCAGAGGTGTGACCAAGTCACTAGTTTGCAAGTCACAAGTAAGTCACAAGTCTTTCCAGTCAAGTCTCGAGTCAAGTCCAAGTCAAAGACAACCAAGTCCAAGTCGAGTCCAAAGTCAATGATGTGGAAGTCCAAGTCAAGTCCAACTCCTTAACTTTGAATTTTCAAGTCATAATCAAGTCATCTGTCCAACTTCAATTTAATGATGATGATAATAAATAAATTCCAGAAATAAATCTTCTTAAAGCTTCATTTATTTGCTCAAACAAGCAGAAAGTTCAACAGAAACTGTTTATAAACAAAGTGCTTCTGCATTTAGCAGAACAAGATCACACCCAGAACCAAGAATGATTTATGATTTTTGTCCATGTCATGCCACTTTTGCGCTAAAATATCAAATATGCTCAAGTCATCATCAAGTCAACAGATGAGAGGCGATTCAAGTCGCAAGTCATTAGCGTTCAAGTCCGAGTCAACTCGTAAGTCTTTATAGATTTGATCAAGCCAAGTCAGAGGTCATTAAAATAATGACTCGAGTCTGCCTCGAGTCCAAGTCACGTGACTCGAGTCCTCACCTCTGTTTCTCCATAAGTCTAATTCCAGCTTTGTCTCATCCTCGCAGTCTGCTGAACCTGGGCTAGAAATGGTGAACTCATTCAGTCATCTGAGAGGTAAAACACCCTGAGGTCTAACGAGGGAAGAGTCTGCGAGATGACTCAACTACAGAATCTCTCATCATGTGGCAGGAATCCCAACATCGTGGTCTCACAGCTAGTTTTATTCAAAGCTGATCCAGAAGTGCTCATCAGGAAGCTAGAACCCAGAGCTGAGCTACTCATGTGATTGAGGGCTGTTGTTTGTGCTGTTTACAGATCTCTGCAGGACTCCAGCAGCGTCCGCCTCAGGCTCTTCAGCAGCTGTCCAGAAAGACCTTGATGAGATGGATGAGCCATGTGAAGGAGACACGGAGGACACCGTGGGATGATCTCAGTGAAGTTTATATTATGAACGGATAAACCAGTCAGACAGAAATCTTTATTGCAACAAACATTCAGATGACTTAATCTTGTATCCTGAGTTTAGAGGCTCACATTGTTTACCGTTAACCATCATCTGTTCTTTAGGCTCTTTTAATTTAGTTTTTTAATCGAGTTCTTAAGACTCTACTCAGTTTATTTTATTTCACTTATCTTGTAGAAGTGTGACATCGCTACGTGTGTCTTTCAGGTCATTTTTGGGGTTTTGTCTGCATTATTTAATCATTTTAATCACGTTTAAGTTTTGTGTTTGTTGTTGCCATGTGTTGTGTTTTATGTCACTTTCCAAAAGATTTCTTGTCTTTTTATGATTATGTTACATAGATTTTGATTAAATGTAGAAGTTTTCTTATTTTTTCCTGACTATTTTGGTAAGTGAATAGTAAGTAAATTTTATATAGCACTTATCACAGACATGGAATCACAAAGTGCTTCACATAGATCAAAACAAAACAAAACAAAGTCATAAAATCATAATGATCTCATAACAGAAATAGATGAACATCTGAAAAAATAGTCATGAAAAAATTTCCATAAACGAACGAAAGATTAAATATTTGAGTTAAAAGAAAGAAAACTAAAAGGTTTAGGTAAAAGCAGCTTTAAATAAAAGGGTCTTTAGATGTTAAATTTGAAAGTGTCCAGACTGTCAATGCTACGTAAGGATAAAGGAAGATCATTCCAAAGTTGGGGTGCAACAGTCTGGAAGGAGCGATCACCTCGACTTCTGAATCTGGTCTTTGGAACTTCTAGAAGGTTCTGGTGTGTGGACCTGAGGGCTGGGTTGGAGCATGAGGCTTTAACAGTTCAGTAATATAGGGAAGAGCTTGACCATGTAGAGCAGGGGTGTCAAACATGTGGCCCGCGGGCCGCATCCGGCCCGCAAACGGGTTAAATCCGGCCCGCGAGATGGTTGTGTAAACTTTATTTTCATACTTTACAATGTAGAGTGAAAATAAACTTATCTTTGTGAGCAAGTTTTCTCTGTAATGAGTATAAATAAAACAAAGCTGCGCTCAAGGCCCACACAAGAACTTGAATCACATCCTGAAGTTGGCTGCCACTCAGGATGTGACTTCTGATATTGATGTGCTGGTGAAAGCTAAAAGATGTAAAGTAAAATGAGTCAAATATACTTTAAGTGCTGCATGAAACTGATCTAGCCATGTGATCTGTAAGCTCTTTGAATCACTAAGGAATGTTTATTTATTTATTTTTTCAAATTTTCAAGTACACTTCAGGTGTTGTACTTGTACTATTTTGGATACACTGTCCTCAGGCTCCAGCTTTGTTTTATATTGATCGTATTAAAACAAAAGAAACAATCTGAAGTTGTTTTTAATTTACCGGTCCGGCCCACTTGGGACTAGATTTCCCTCAATGTGGCCCCTGAGCTAAAATGAGTCTGACACCCCTGATGTAGAGCATCGAAACTTATAGTCAGGATTCTAAAATGATCTCTAAAGTTAACGGGTAACCAGTGCAGAGACATCAGGAGTGATGTGAGCTCTTCTGTTTGCTCCAGTTAGGAGCCTCGCTGCAGAGTTCTGGACCAACTGAAGGCGGTCAAGGGCTTTTTTGTTAAAACGTGTGAAGAGTGTTACAGTAATCTAGACGGGAGGAGATAAAGGCATGGATAACCATTTCAAGTTCATGTTTTGACACCAACCTTCGCAGTTTGGAGATATTTCTTAAATGATAAAAACGTGGTCATTTGAATCACCTTGTATCCATATTCTCCAAAGCGCTTTGTGTCTTGCTTCTTTGTCATCATGATTTGTTAAAGTTTCCCAACATCAAAAGCAAATACAGGGATACAAAGATAATGTTTTTGCCCGTATCTGTGAATGTGTGTGGCTTCTCGTGCTCACAAACCACGGGGAGGATTTTAATGAAACTCTCAAAGTAACCGTTGGATGCTTTTTTTAAATTTTTTTATTTTTTTGGAGTCAGCCAAATTCAAGATGGCCGCCACAGCTAATAACCTTTTCACTACAAAAATTCATTTTTACAGATATTGAGCTACAATGTGCCAAGGTGTTAGCTGAGGATCATCAGTGTGACACTGAGCACAACATCATCAAATCACAATTTAACTAAAATGACAATATCTCTTTTCATTTCTCAAAATAATTCATCTGAGTTTAAAATACAAAGACATCAAAAAGATATACCACATTTACTTTTCCCCCCATCTCACCTGTTAGGATCAAATAGAGTCACAGATTTGTGTATTGACCCATGATCCTCTGTCCTGTGGTGGAACAGAGAAAAAAAATCGATATGAAGCTCATACAGTACTGAAATGTCCCCAAAGTCCACAGGAGCAGCATTTTCTCCCCCTCCCATCCTTCTCTCTGTCCCCCTCCCTCTCCCTATCTGCTGTTTCTGGCATGAGCCGACCTCTACTGTATCTACCCCCGGCATCACACTGCAGAGCACTGAGGAGGACTCAGAATGCTTCACAGAAGGTGAGAATAATTCATTCATCTGAATCAGAGCGCTGTAAATAAATCTGAGAGAGGTGAAAAGACTGATCCTTGTTCCTTCTTTTGATCTGGATGAAGTATTTAGTTCTAACCTGCGTTAAAGCAGCATTTTTAATGAGCAGGTTCGCATCAGTCAGACTGGATGTTGCTGACCTGCTTTGTGTGTTTTCTCAATATATTCGGGTAAAAGTAGATGAATAATC